TTTTTTCTCTTTACTTTGCAAAGCTTTCCAACTTTTCAACCTTCGAAATGACTTACTGATGTATATGTATGTACAGGCATAAAAAGAAACGACTGGCAGCATCGTTGTACGCAGACTCTCAGGCGTGAATTGGGTTCCTGCGTAAGTCAGTTGTTTCACAGAGTATTTCCGTCTGTGTGCTGAAATGATCAGCCCGGGTTTGCCCTTACAATCAAAGTCGAAGCAGCCCGTCTCGTAAACTATCTAAGTTGTGTCAGTGAGAGCGTAAGAAAATACAGTTAATCAATCATTAGCCTGACACGCAGGGTTGAAAAAATCCGCCCTCTTAATGATGGAGCTTCTTGTGTCGAATGGGAACTAAAACATTTACTTCCAAACACTTTTTGTACTGATGGAAAAAACACCACTTTAAAAATAATTTCTTTAACCTCACCTCAGTACAGCTTTTCAAGTAACACGTTATAACTCGTCCCGTGGAAAGTTGGAACACTCTCTTGCAAATTGCAGATGGGAAATCTCGACGGCAGGGAGGTTTGGGAGAGGAGATTGGGGGAGGGGGGGGGGGAATTGAGGAGGACTTCTTATGTCCCACTTTTTTTTCTCCCCATCTGTTACTTCTGTCTGTCTGCTTTCCTTTACCCAGCGTGAGTCCAAGCGTCGATGTGTTTCCCCTTTACTCGGAGCCGAAAGCCATCTGAATCAGATGTGCATGGAAACGGAAGGGGGGGGCGCAGGGGGGATAGGAAGGGAGTTGGACGGCGAGTGGAGGGGGATACTCATAGTTGAGGTACAACGGCACGGTCTACAAGTTCTGTCAGGCCTTATGAATACTTCTTTGAAATTGTTTGTTTGGTTGTTTATTGTTTTTTTCTTCTGGTGATTAGTTTTGGGTTGTTTTTTTGCCTTGTTTGTATGAATGTTTTTTTTATCTTTCTTTCTTCTTTGTCGTTTTTTCCTCGGAAAGAAGGGGGGGGGGTGTATTATCTAATGAGTCATTAAAAATGTTGTCCTAAGACAAGGGGCTATATTTTTCAGTACGGTTCGTGCCACATTGTTGGTACGTTAACTTTTCACATTGCGCTTGCGAATATTGGAGCAAACGGGAATGGCGTATTGCTAATTCCAAAATTCTATGTGTGTTTCGGCTCGAAGGACAGTGCCTTTGTTTACCCATAACTCTCACTCACTTTCTTTGCGGTTACATTGTAGATGAGCACTTACTTTCTGAGAATGGTTGTATAGCAGCATATGTGCTACATGCAGCAAACGTGAGTTCGATTCTCATCTCGAACAATCTCCGTCTGTCCGTGGGGGTGATGCATCATACCTAGCCTGGGTTTGGCCCTGACAGGCAGGGTAGAAGCAGCCAGGCTCCGACAAGACCTAAACTGTGTCGATGGGGGCGTAAAGCATTATGATCAATATTTAAAAAATAAAAAAGAATGTTTAATGTATTTGTTATTACGCCCCCATTGACATAATTTAGATCATTTAAGAGGTGGGTTTCCAACCCTGCCTGTCATGAGCAAACCGGGCCGAGAGGGATAATCATTTCAATCAGTACGGAGGACATCAGAGACATTTATAATGGCAGGACAAACAATCATCATAAATACCGGACTTGCATTCACAGAATCCTTCACATCAACTAGCTAGAATCAGTCGCGCGCTCCGTATGGACCCCAAAATGTCACAAACCTGGCTCTGAACTGGGTGAGCTCCCCTCGGAAAAAAAGGTAAGAGATTGTCCCAGAAATATAAGGCGCATAACCTTAAAGAGCTTATTCAAGAAGAATTTGGCTGTTGGGGGTGGCTGAAGAAGGCCCAGTACTGAGACGGCCGAAGAAAACCCAGGACTGAAACGTTTTAGGGAGGTCTTGTTAGTGGCCTACGTCCGTTTAGGGCTGCGAAAGGTTGATCGTTTCATTTGACATGGCTTTCGCAATCTGTTGTTTTGACGCTTTGCATGTACCCCCCCCCCCTTTCCATTAATCATCGAGAATCGTTCACATCCATAGGCCCATACCAGCACCAAGAGTGTAGTGGCAAGGCTCTTCGTTGTTACATGCATCGAACCTGAATTCAATTCCCAAGTGGGGAGGCTTTTTTTTGCTCTTAATTTGTTGGTCGAATTCTATTGAAAGTACTGATCAGTGTAAGATTGAACAAACACCATGTTAAAAAGTGCGCTGCTCAAGGTCGTGGTGAAATTTGATCAACTTTTGCGTCACTTTTAACCGAGAAAGGGTAAGGGTTTTTCTACAAAGTTGCGTTGGTTCAGGAACGCGAACCACTCTCCCAGTGGGGATTCAAATCTGCTGTTTTCGCTACGATAGCTATGGTTCCTTAATATCTGAATCAGCCGAAGAGAAGGCGCACCCGCCGCAGAGGCAAATTTATCCATGACAAGAACAGAACGTGGATAGAATTCTGTTGCTCTTTTCTATGCCCGCTCTGAAATATCTAACATAAAGGGTCTAAGCTAGATATCTTAGGTCTAAGCTAAATCTTCTATTGTCAACGTGACACCCTCTGTGCATTGAACATGACTGTCGACCGGATAATATTCGCTGCATATTGTGTATCAACCCCATTTCTCTTTATTGCTGTATAGAGCTTACACAGGTCTGTTCGTGAGAAATGCAAATTTGGACAAACAGAGAGCGCGGAGGGTGTCTCGCTTCCAAAGGGATTTTTTTTCGAGGGGGGTGGGGGCAAGAGGAGTGCTTTTTGCTTTTGTGTGTGTGTGTGTGTGTGTGTGTGTGTGTGTG